GGAGTGAGGAAATTCGGGAATGAATCTCAGTTTTCTGGGTGACCTTGAGCAAACCCTTGCTCGTATTCAGCTTTCTATTTTGAAAAATGCAGCTGGCTGCTTAATTAAGATATCATCCACCAGGGTGCCTGGCCCAGAAAAGGCGCTATGTAAATGGTAGGTGATCCTGTCTAATCAATACCAATTATAAATGGACATCTGCAAGCTTTGTGGAGGACTCGTCCTTCACAGCCACCAGAGGCTACAGTTCCAATAATGAAATTTGATCGGGGGAGAGCCACAACTGTTCAAAAAAAAGTCCAGAAACACTGAGCAACTTTTCCAGTGGTCCCTGCCCACAACGCCCAGCCATAGCTGGGGGCTCTAGCTCTGCTCCTCTCCGAAGACTCCATCACAAGCAGAGGACCAGAGAGCTTCAAGATGCAGAGGGAGGAGGACCCGGAAGCTCGGCTGCGTGGGACGCGGTGCGCGCGTTGCTGGGGTGGGTGTCCCTAGCAACCAGAAACGCGCCTCTGCGGAAGGAGCGGCGGCGTCCGCGTCTCTCCCGCCCTTGGCTCTCCATTCCTTGCCTAGTACCCGGCAGTTCGGCTGCCATTTATTTGGTGCGTTGATCTCGCCGCATCTTTCTTGGAGGCCTCCAGGAGTAGAGCTGGGCCACCCCTGGGGGGAGGGGGCGGAAGACTCAGAGGTGGAAAGGGAGGGAGCACCTTGTATGGGCGGGACAGTGAGCCCTTCGGCTGCAGGGGAGAACTCACCAGAGCTCTGGGGAGCCAGAGAAGAACTGGTTAAGAGGCCGACCCTGCCCTCTTGACTTTCAATGGCTTGTGGAGTTTCTGTTTGTTTTGATTGCTACCTTTCTTACAAAGGTCTTTTCTTTGTCTCTGGGTTGCCTTTAATATTTAAAATCAACACGTGCATAGATGAGTCCATGTACACGGGAAACGGTCCGCGGAGCTCCCATCTCCCCTCTATCTCCAGAGTGACTTGCAGCGGAGAACTGGAGAAGGTTCAAGAGAAAGGAGTCTCGGGCACGTCCACGGTGAAGAGGACATACAGTTGAGTTTAAGAAATCAGAAGGGCTGGGTGTGGGTTTGGTCGCCATATCCAAGTATGCTAGAGCAAAGAGGTACCATCTGAAGTTTAAAAGGAGGCTGGTTTGGTAGCATATAAAAAAACCCTACTTAAATGGGTAGCTTATGTCTGTATTAACCCAAGATCTGATAAGGTAGAGAGCAGCATCAAAGCAGAGTCTCATAAATTACCTCTCTGATCTCATAACAGTCTGCAGGGTATGTTACAAATGAGTAAGGGAGCCAGAGGTTTGACCTGCTCAGTGCGTCAGTCAATAAATGACGAAGCTGGGATTTGACATGAGTCTTCCGGTCTTCAAAGTCCGTGCCCTTTCATTTTTTTTTTCCTTTTGCTCAATATTAGTAGATTTGTGGCATTGTTTATTGGATGGGACAGGTCAAGTGGAAATTATGACCACTTTAAGGAAAGGTCTAAATTAAATAATGGATGATAACTTTGTAATTGGCTGTCAAGGCCGAAGAAGATGTTTAGGGGCACATTTGCCTTGGAAGAACAGCCACAGTCTCTCAGAAAACCTCGGAGTGAGTATATAACAGGTTGGCATATACCTGTTATAGGTGAGTGGCCTGTGTGCTGCAAAAAGGAATGTAAAGTGTTCCCTTTGTGCCCCATCAGATCTTAGCTTGGTCCCTGGTCTTCTGTATTCCAGGTCTGTGATCTCCTCCTTCACAGGTGTGGGGAGAGAAGGGAAGTGTGGCTTACCACGCCCACCTACAAGCAGGGCCAGTAGAGCAGGAGGAGTTAGAACCCTTAATTGCTCAACATGCCTAGGTCAGCAAGGGGAAGAAGGTTCTGGAAATCTAACTTTAAGCTCCAGAACTTTCTGCAGTTTCCAGGTTGATCTGGGTTAAGGAGGGAGATGCTCTATTAAGGGTTGGGTAGAGGGACTCCATGTTTCTGAGTTGGGAGTACCAAAAGAGCACCAGCTTGAGACCTCCAGACCATATTAACCAAAGATCCCATGGCATCCTTTTCTGCTCTGTAGGTGTGTCCACTCAAGAGGCCACACCTGAACTCAGCTTAATAGGGAGTCCCCAGGGGTCAGGAAGGAAAGGCTCCAAAGACCAGTTGAAGATGAATGCACTGCTGTGGGTGTATATGAATTTTTCCAGCAGAGAGAGTCCATTGCTTTCATTACTTCTCAGGAAAGTCTGTGATCCAAAAAAAGGTTAACAACCACCATCCTAGATCCTTAGATTGTTTGTTGAGCAGATAAGCAGGGGTGGGAAACTGGGTGTTTAGTTAAAGGGTATCCACATTAAGCTAATTTGGTTTGATGTATTATTTTCTCCCCTCCAGACAGTGCTATTGTATAAATCAGCTGAGATGACAAGTGTGTGAAAATGCCTTGGTTATGTAAGGTTGTTATTCCTGTCCAAAGAAATGGAAATAATTATTGTGAACACCACAGATGGTACCAAAGAAACAGAATTTCTTCTAAACTCTCCTTTCTCCCCCAATTCCTTTCTAGTCACCAGAATCTTCTCTTGGTCTTTTTGGTTGCAGTATCTTATCTTATAGTGTTTTAGTGACTTGTTAGAATTTCTTATCTTATGGCTTACTGGATGTTTATTGCATTTGAATAACAATTATGGTAAATGGTGACCCTTTCTCAAAGGATGAACCTTAGCTTATTTGTTCTTAACCACAGCCTAGTGAGCTAGATAGAGAGGTGGGGGCAGGTGTTGGGAGCATGGCATGGAGAGGTCATTGACTTGCTTAAAGTTACTTGATGTCACTCTACACAATGGGAGCATCTGTATCAGAGTGGAAGGATTCAGACTTGCGCTTCCAGCACTATTCTTCTACCTGAGCAGAAGTGGAGAGGCAGCTTGAGGCCATGTTTGTGTCTCCAGGTCATGTTTGAGGCCAAGTTACTTCTAGAAAGATCTTACAGTCATTTGGATGTTTCCGCCTGGAGAATGTGACGTTTGCCAGTTTAGCAGAGAGACTGCTTTTCTTGTAGTTGCCCGTCAGATAAGCCATCTCTGTTACAGCAGTGACAGGTCGCTTTCTAGAGTGTTTCCAACACAAAATTTCTTAAGCAAACAAGGAAATATGCTAAATTTGTGGATGTGATTTCACTGCTCCTTTCTCAGGGTTATGTAATATATTGAAATTTCACCTCTAAAATTAAAAAAAAAAAAAAAGCAAAAAACTTGCAAAAGGGTTCCCTCTGATACTATTCTTAGCAACCAGTTCTTGCTTTGGTTAACTCTCAAGTCCTCTAGTGGCAAATATACAATTTAAATGTTTACATGTTATGGAAAGGCAGCCATTGTTAAAACCTATGGGCAAAAATGATCGTAAGTCAATGCTATAATAAATAATTCAGAACTTACACATGAGAATCAACGTAGAAGATATCCCTCTGTGTTCTTGATCTTATTCTCTACATGTGTGGGTCCTTTCTGCATCCTTATACATCAGTTTAGAAACATAACTTTTACAAAGGTATGTTTCTAAAAGTAGAGCCATAGAATCAAAACTGCTCTTCTCATAGGCTTCGCTCATATGCTCTTCACATATGGCCAAATTGCTCTTCAGTAAGAGGGGACATTTCCAGCAGCAGTGTACAAGAATGCCATTCCTCCAAGGTGGGCCAGACTTAGGTATTTGCAAACTGATAGCAAATAATAGTATCTCATTTTAAATTTAGCTCTTCGATTATTAGACTGGATGAACTTTTTTGCAAATGTATATTGGCTATTTGTGTGTGTGATTTTTAAAAATGAATTATCTAGTCATTTCTTTGGCCTATTTTTTCCCCCTCTTTGGGTATTTATTTTCATCATATAAATTTATAAAAACTCATAATTCGTTATGACTATTAACTCTTTTTTCTTATCATGTATGTTATAAATTTCCCTCAGTTTATAGTTTGCTATGAAAGTTTTAAATGTATATGTATCCAAATTTATAGATCTTTTCCTTTATTTTGCCTGTGTTTAATATCTTTCTAAGAAATAATTTCACCACTCTAAGATTATATAAACATTCACTTATAATTTTTTAGGTATATCTTTTATTTTAAGTTTTATATTCAAATCTTTAATTTATCTGGCACTTATTTTGAGGTAAGAGAGATTTAATTTTATTTTGATTTCAAATGGTTAATTAGTTGTTTGAGCAATTCTTTGGAATAATCGATCCTTTCTTCATGGAGATAAAATGCCACTATTATCATATAAAATTTATTCTATCTACATCTTCTATTTTGTTTTCCTGATTTATCTGTTAGGGTTTATATCAGTACCACTTTGATTATTATAACATTAAACTACATTTTATAAATTTTACTCCATAGCTCTGTAACATTGAACAAGTTATTTGACATTTCTGGTGTAAAGTTATTTCTATTTTATTTGTAATTATGACCTCCTTTTCATTTTTAATACTGTTTACTTGTGTTTAAAATTTTTTTCTTGAACTTTGTTTATCTGCGTTATTAGTTTTTTCCATGGATCCATGCTTCTGATAATCTTTTTATTTCATTCATTTCTGCTTTTATTTTATGATTTCCTTCCTTATTATTTTTGGGGGTTTATTCTTTTTTTCTCTTATTTCTTGAATTGAAAGCTTAGCTCATTAATTTTGGAATCTTTGGCTTTTTTTATACTTTAACTCATCAATTCTAAGATGAACATTTTTCAAGTTTGTATCTCTGAAGTCGGATTGGTCTTACCAGTCCTGTGGGCCCGGTGGCAGATGTGAAGTATTTGCCATAAACTTTGCTGTGTGAGCACTGAATAATGCAGAAGGTGTGTCTGTGGTTAAACTTCAGAGGCAATAGAGGAGCACTCATTAAGAGATGCTGATTCACCCATGAATTGTTGTTGCCCCGAGGGCAATTAAGGTGGAAAATGTGGACATGAGTGATGGAGTTGAGAAGTGAGTAATCAAACTTCCCAATGTGAGTAAGGTTAAGAATGCCCTAATCGATTTATTTTGCTTATATTTTCCTTCTTTAAATATGCATAGGAGTGATATGTGATCAAAATCTCTAAGTTTAAAAGTGCTTCAATAAGTATAAAATAAACAATTCTAAGTGATAAAGCATATGTCATAGTTTAATTGGCAGCTTTTGTTCTTTGTGGTGTATAAAATAATATTATTACAATGGATGGTGTCTTATATTCGGTGAAATAGAGTATATGCATTTAAGGCTCTAGTTTCTAATTACTGCTTTAGTTGAACCCCACAAGTTTTGATATATAGTACTTAGGTCATTGATCATTAAGCACTTCATACTTTCCATTACGATTTCTCCTTTTATATGAAATATTTACAAGTGTGGTTTGAGTTTCCAAGCTTATGGATGTTTTTTGGCTGTCTTTTTATTATTGATTTATAATGGTATTACATTGTGGTCAGAGAGTGTAGAATGTGTTATATTTGTTGATGTTACTTTTGTGGCTCAGTATATGGGTGGTTACTCCTTTGGCTACGGGGGACCTATGCTGTCCTCTTCACAGCTCTGCCCCTTTCTTGCCCCTCTGTTGGGCTCCACTCCATCCCAATTACTCACACCTCAAGCAACCAGTTGACCTCATTATACCTGTGGGGCTACTCTAGGCCCCATGGCATATTTCAGAACAGCTTTTCCCACACTTGTCTGGCCCTGAGAATCAACACCTGAGGTGCTTCTTAAACATACTGATTCCCAGGTCTTCCTCAGTAGGTCAGGGTCAGAGCCCTAGAATCTGCATGTTATTAAACGAGTACCCCCAGGTGATTCTCATGACCAGGCAAATTTGGGGAATACTGTGCATTTGGGAATCAGGAGGTGGCACAAGATGGAATGCAGTACAGTGACGAAGCTAGACTTGCAGAGGAGGAAAATCACTGCCAAACGTGAGCCTAACAGCTACCAATGGAGGGGGACTTGTTCTAAAGGCTGGTTCTCAGATCTCACTTAGAGAGATTCTAATTCAGTGGGTCTGCAATGGGATTTGAGAATCTGTATTTTTCATTCTGATGCAGACAGTTCTTACGCCGTACCCTGAGAAACACCAGAATGGGGGCTTGTGAGGAGATGAAGAAGCTCGGCTGACCTTCAAACTTTGTAGAGTCACAGGCAAAGTCCTCTTAAGAGTAAAAGGCTTGGCGATAGGGTTGAGACTTGACAAGAGAGGAAAAGATAGATCCACTTGCTCTATGAATTTGAGAGAGAATAGAAAAGAAATTAATAAAAAATGGTCTAAGTAGCAGTCCTATTGATAGATGATAGAAATTTGCAGACGGCATGTGGTGATACCATATACATATAAAGCATGATACCATGTAGGAGGAACAGCAGTCAGTCTAAAAATGTTCTCCAGAGTCAGAGAAGTTTGAATCTTATTTTTTGTAATTTTCTTATAACCAGAAGTTACAACATGTCTATTGAGTTTCTATGCTCTATGAAGTTATGCATAAAGAAATTTGACATTTTAAAAAAGTGAATGGACAAGGCACACACTATATAAAATGATGAGAGAAAAGAGTGTCTTTCATGAAGCAGGGATTGTATAGTGGACTGGAGACAATGGATACACTTCTCTAACAGTCACTGGCTGTCAGGACTCTTTTATTTGTAATTGCAGGTGGTTGGGGAGTTATAATTCTTTTTCTTTTATTTACTCAAACACTTATTGAACATTTATTTTGTGCCAGGCCCTGTTGTGAGTGCTGCTAAGATGAATAAGACACAGTCTGCGGGGTAGACGTGTGTATAAATGAATGACGACAATAGTGTAAGGGGAACCCGTGGAAGTTTTTGAAGACAGTTCTTTGGGTTATGATTAACAGCTATATTCATTAGTCCTCCTATAAACAAAAACCTTTTGGAAAATTGTATTGAGATGCTCAGTACAATGTACAGTAGTATAGCTTAAGTTAGATCTTATCTCTTTCACTTAGTTCAGGGCAGTCGTACTATGTGTGTTGCGGGGCAAGCAGTCTAGCATAGTGGTTAGAATTTTAGACTGTTGTGTCACAAGAACTGTGATCAAATCTGGGCAGAGATGTTGATTTTCTCTGTGATTTTTGGCAAGTTGCTTATCTTTCTGACTTTCAGTTTCTTCACCTGTAAAATGAAATGGTAATACCTACATCTGTGGGTAGTTATGAGAATTAAATAGGAAAATATGTGTAAGATGTCAATACAATCCCTAGTATATAGTAAATGCTTAAAAATATTAGTTTTTAAAAAAATATTTATAATCTAGGGAACACGATAGAGCGCAAAATATTTTCATTAATGTAATCAAATGGATATCTATGTGTTGCAGGTCCTAAACACAAGGATTTTCTGGAATCTAAGGGATGCTCTGCCAACACAACATCCTCTGCCCAAAGGGTTAGCCCCTCTTCTTCTGTTGAAACAGATCTAAGTGTCAGTGAGCCTCCAGGTTCCCGCAGAGTGTCTGCTCACCTAGAGTAAGTAAGGGTCCAGTGAAGAGCCACAAACAGTGGGGTGAAGTCTGACCAGATAGCCAACAGTCTGAGAGGTAGCTTGACATCTCTGGCAAGAATGTAGATTCTGAAGCTAGACTATCTGGGTTCAAATCTCAGCTCTGCCACTTAGCATCTCTGTGAACTTGTGCAAATTATTTTACCTTCCTGGGCCTCAGTTTTCTTATTTGTAAAATACAGATACTACTCTATAGGATTATTGTGAGGGCTAAATGAGTTGATACATGTAAAGTGATTAGATGACTCCCTGGCATACAGTAAGTGCTGTGCGAGTGCTTGCTATCATAAAGTTCAAAATATGTATTTTGGAAATACATACATACTTACATACACACATAGATGGTAAATCTTAAAAAAAAGCAAAGAAATGATTACCTTGAGAGTGAGAGTCACAATATTGGTTACCTCTCTATGAAAGGGACACACAGATAGTTTTGGGGAATGGGAAGGGAGGGCTGGCCTTGTTTTGTTTCTTGTCGTGGATGTTGGCTTTATAATTATTCATAAAACTGTATTTATGTTTGATGTGCTTTTCTCTGTTTATATTTCTTTTACAGGAAAAGTTTTGAAAATCTTTTTTAAAAATAATTTTTGTTTAATGAACATAATTTCAGTTCATTGTAGAAATTTTGAAAATACAAAAACAGTATTAAAAATAAAAATCATAATCCACCTCTTAGAGAATCAGTGTTAAAATTTTGATATTATTTTTTTATGCATAAGAAACTTCTATTTCTTTATTATGCATATGAATATATGTTTATTTGACACAATTGAGATCATATTATACTACTCTTTTTAAAAACTGCATTCTTCCACAATCACCTGTTTATCTGACCTCTGCCCTTCAGCCCTAAGCTCCTTGAAAGCAAGCACTGTGTTTGGATCCCTGGTATCTGGAACTGTGCCAGCCACAAAATGTACTCTGATAAATGTTTGTTGAGTAAACAAAGTAGTTAATACTTCTACAGTTTTTTTGGAAATTTTCCTTTATCCTTGCAATTTTTTTCTGCACAGTTTCTTCAGCAAAGCCTTTTGAAAAATATTTAGGAGAGACTTATTTCATGCCAATGTCAAAATTATCATATGTTCTGAACTCTGGGGGGAAGGACTCTGAGTTATTGTATTTTTGCTCTATCTACACAGTACCAAGTTCAAAGATATTAGTATACATGTATTATTTAAAACTGGAGATCAAGCTATACAAGACTTCTGAGTTATTAAACTAGGGTTCTTTATGATTTTTAGGGCACATAGTCTAGAGTAAGACTGCAGAGGCTCTGATCCTGTCTAGGTGTGTTTTATCATTAACTTCTCTAAAGGTTAATTTCCTTTTCAAATAGAAATGATTCTATTGGCCATCACAAGATTGTTAGTAGGGAGCAAACGAGACAAGTAATATGAAGATGCTTTGAAACTATTCAAATTAAAGGGTGATGTAATATTATGAACAAAGAGCCTAGGATTTGATAACAGATGACTATACCTGAAAACATTGGTCAAGGCCATCTATCACATACAAAGCAGCTTAAACCAGAAGTGATTACTATTTTTTTTTTTACATATTTGTTCTATTTTTTCTGTTTGCTTTTAAGTTGTATTTTAACATATTAAGTTCTAATATTTTAGAGCCAAATATATTTATTTTTCTTATATTGCTTTGTGATTTCTTCTATTGCATATAAGCTAGGAAAGTTTTCTCCCATCTGGGGATTTAATAAATATTATCGAATATGTGAATAGCCAATCCTATTTCCTTCTAATTTTAATATCTCGATTTAAAATCCTTTTGGAATTTATTTTGTTATATCTGGATCTAAGTGATTTTTTGTTTCTTTATAGGTAGCTAATTTGTTAAGTGCAACATTTCTTATGACGGTTTGCTTTCCTCCCCATACTTTGTGAACCATTTCTATGATATATTTATTACACACTCTGGCATTTCTTTTTTTCAAATCTATGCTACTCTTTAAAAAAGTGGAAATCAGGAAACCAGCTTGTTATAATTCCTTTTAAAACATGTTTTAGCTCTTCTTGATTGTTATTATTTTTTCTCAGACAAATTTTAGAATAATTTTAAATTATCAGAAATTTTGTTTGTAATTTTGATTGGAATTAAACTGAACCAACAAATCAATTTCAAATTGATTTCTTTTACTCTGCTAGCTGCCCAGTCTGAAATATCATATGCCTCTCTATTAATTTAAATCTTTCAGATTTCTCAGTAAATTCCTATTATTTTCTTCAAAATAACTTTCTTATAATTAAAATTATTCTTAGATTTATCTGTTGTGATGGTTTCCAGAAGTGATTACTTTTTCTCTACACCCGCAATAGTTTGTTGTAGGCCTTTTTAATTGCCAGAAAGTTCGGCACTAAACATAATCCTCTGTTATTATAACCAATTCAGTCTAGGTTTGTTTTTGATTATTTCTTCCTCTTCTCTTTATACTTATTGTTTTTTAATTTCCATTTAATGATTTTATTGAACATGTATCTTTTTTGTAACAGTTTTTTTGAAGCATAATTCACATACCATATAATTCACCATTTAAATTGTATAACTCAATGGATTTTAGTGTATTCAACTGTGCAACCATTGCCACAGTTTTAGAACATTTTCATCACCCCAAGAAGAAGCGCGTACCCTGTAGCAGTCACCCACCCCATGTCTACTATCCTCCTAGCCCTAGACAGCACTAATCTACTTTTTATCTCTATAGATTTGCCTAATTTGGACATTTTATATAAATGGAATCACCAAAATGTGGTCCATGGTGTCAGGTTTCTTTAATTTCTCATGTTTTCAAGGTTCATCCATTTTGTTGTTATATGTATCAGTACATTGTTCCTTTTTTCAAAAAAATGTGGTAAATTTTTTTATATTCATAGCCAAACATTTGCCATTTTATCCATTTTTAAGTATACAATTCAGTGGCATTAATTACACTTAAAATGTTATGCAACTATTGCTACTATTTTAAAAATATTTTCATCACCCCAAACAGAAACTCTGTACCCATTAAGCAATAATTTCATTTTCCCCTCTCCCCAGTCCCTGGCACTGTAATCTGCCAACCTAATCCACCTTCTGCCTCTATGAATGTACCTATTCTTGATATGTCATATAAATTGGATCATACAGTATTTGTCCTTTTGTGTTTGGCTTATTTTACTTAACATATGTTTTCAAGATTCCTCCATGTTGTAATATGTATCAGAACTTCATTCTATTTTATGTCTGAAATGTATGTATAAGTGACATTTTGTTTATCCATTCATCATTTGACGGATATTTAGGTCGTTTCTACTTTTTGGCTCTTATGAATAATGCCGCAGTGAACATTTGCATACATATATCTGCTTGAGTTTCTGTTTTCAATTCTTTTGGGTGTACCCAAAATGCCTAGGACTGTATGATAAATCTATATTTAACCTTTTAAGGAACCACTGCTCTTTTTAAGCATGTATCTTTTGAACATGGTTAAGTCCCCTCAAATTGTGAATAAATAAATTACATGCTCATGTACGTTTATGGAGGAGTAGGCCTACTTCTCATAAGTGAGGATAATTCTAGTGTAAGATATGTAAGATCAGGTTCTAAATACCAATTAAGTACATGGAAGAATCTAATCCCTCTGCTTCCTTTCCAGCCTTGCTGCAGATTTGGATCTGAAATCCTCCTCCTCACATTCTGATCGCTCCTCTGAAACCTCATTGCCTGAAGTCCAAAAGGATAAATATCCTGAGGAGTTCAGCCTGCTTAAGTTGCAGACAAGTGAGTAAGTCATAGATCCTCCTCCACATGCCTCCATGCCCAGGGTATTTTCAGAAGTCTGCCATACTGTTGGGTGCCATGCACTGAAGACCCACTAAGTACCAGACATTTGAAACACTTCATCTCTAACTCTCACAACGACTCTGCTGGGAAAAGCATCATTATATGTTTTCCAAAAATGAAATGTCTTCATATAAAAACCATAAAAGTATTGTATCAAAATTCTGAAATAATAAAGAAGTATGTAGAGTATAGAAACCCCTTCCCCAATATTCTCCAACAATATCCCCATTCCGCCCAATAGCTGTGAACAGTTTGATATACATATATCTATGTGTATACATACATACATATATATAAATTCTTCCAGAGTTTTGAAATGTATATCTGTGTGTGTGTGTATGTGTATATGTATGTATGTATGTATGTATGTATGTATGTATGTATATATGTATATATATGGAGTATAGTATTCAACCATATTTTCAGTAGTAGCAAATAGTATACAAACTATTTTCACTCAAAGTGAATAGATCATGGACCTCTATCTGTGTCAATACATATAGATCTATGTGGCTAATAGAGACCTACCCATTTTACACTAAAGGAAACTGAGGCTTGGAGAGATTCAGTTACCCATGCAAGTACACATAGCTAGAAAATAGTAATGGGATTCGGAGTCAAACTTGCCTGCCTCCAAAGCCTGTGTTGTCTTTTTTTTTTTTTTTTAGGCAAGGCAACCTTTGGTTGACCTCACAGATTGCAAAGACTTTGTCAGCTTACAATCCCTTATTCTTTTATTTTTTACGCCTACAGTACCTGGTCTTCCTAGGTGGTCTCCCATCCAAGTACTAACCAGGCCTGACCCTGCTTAGCTTCTGAGATAGATAGGATTGGGCTTGTTCAGAGTGGCATGGCTGTAGACCTGTGTTTTTTCTTGGCCACCACACACACCCCAAGTATTTTTCAAGTAACCCTAGAGCTGTTTAGGGCTTCTTTTGTTGCTTAAAACCACTTCAGCAATGTTATAGGAAAAGTATCGATGAGGAAGCAAAGACAGTGAGAGGTCCAGTAACTTGCCTGAGGTCTCACGGCAACCTTTCTCATTTGCCATAATCACATGTGCACATATTCTGGTGTCACAGTGGTTCATGCATGTGCCATTGTTGCTGCCAACACCATGTTCCATTCAGTTAAGTTGCCATGGTTGGCCCAGCCCTAACCTGGTTGATGGTTATTCCTTTCTCCCTACCCACTTATCAGAGTGAAAGTTGCATTATAGGTGCTTATAAAACTGTCTCTGAGCTTCCCAACCCATACATCACTTCTAACCATAAAATTAGCTTTAATTTTGGAGGAGAGGATAAAAAGGAAAAAAAAAAAGAGAACTCTAATTTAGACAGCTTTCTCTCCACTTCCCTTCCTTTTGCGCCTAGTCCCACAGAGGCTATCACTGCCCTGATATAGAACCAAGGAATTATACATGCCGATGAAGGTTATACAGCTAGAGAGTGCCTGGGAGTTTTTATAACCTTTTGTTATCCCTTTGTGGTATGAGGCTGGGAGTGGTGCTAATGTAAGGATTTCTGCTGTCTTGCAGAAGATGGGCAGCGTCCTGAGTGGACATTTTACCCAAGGTTTAGCAGCAATATCCACACCTACCATGTTGGAAAGCAGTGCTTCTTTAACGGGGTCTTCCTCGGCAACAAGAGGTCCTTGTCAGAGAAGACGGTGGACAAATGCCTTGGGAGGAAGAAATACGGTAATGTTTTCCTCTTGGACCTGGACTGTGCTATGCTCTTAAGTACCTGTGAGTCGTGATTCTGCAGGCCCAGCATTCTGCGGCTGGGGCAGCCCTGCGAGGTCACCATGTCACTTGGTGCATCCAGGAATATAGGAAAGGGGGGATGGTTGGCAGGCTACACTTTTGGCAAAGAACTCACAACATATGCTGATCCACATTTTTGTTTTTCTCTGAATTTCATAAAATGCTAATGTGACATTTAAATCACCAGATAAGTTCTCTCAGATATTAATAGAAACCTTCATTGAAGTATGGAGAAAATAATTCATGTTTCAATTAGATGATGCCTGTCATATGCATTTAAATTGTACTTTATATTCTTCACAAAGAAAATATTCCATAAACCTAAGCCTGAAGTGCATGTTATTATTTCATAGCTTACTTAATTAAAGGTAATTGAGATGAGCTTATCTATCTATCTATCTATCTATCTATCTATCTATCTATCTATCTATCTATCTGTCATCTACTTCTATCCTTGGTTTGTAACTTGGTGATTTCTCTGTCCTGATCTATCCATAATTTATTGAAAGACCCTAAAGAATTGCTGAGTACCAACTGACCATTTATGGCACACTCTTCCACAGAAATACCTGTGTAAGAGGCAGCCCCTGTTGTGGGGGTGAGTGGAATTGCTGTTGCAGGAATACAAAGAGAAAGACGTAGAAAGTTCTCAATTTGAGTTTTAAAATAGACTTTTAAACTCTTATCAGAGACAAAAAGTTTTGGAAACCAAGGCTTTTGTTTGGATAGAGAATACACGAAAAAGCTGTACTAGAGGAGGTGAGAGAGTTGTCACTGATGTGGGCGCTTTGAGGAGCCCTGCATCCTGCCCAGCTCCTGGGGTCAAAATCTAGAAGGTGATTAGACATGAACTAGCTGGGGCTTCTGTCTCAGAGTGGGCTGGAGGATGACCTCAAGCCTCAGAGGGAAGTGCCATCTGCCCTGACTCTGAGCAAGAGGGTAGTGACAGCTGTGGGCAATGGATGGGCAGAAAGCCAGCCTCGGGGGCTCACCCACCCAGGAGTTGTGGAAGAATAGCCGCATTTCTGTACCTTGTGAAGGCTGTGGAGGTTAGGACAGAGAAAGAATGAGAGAAAGTGACAGAGCAAGCCAGGAAAGCTGTACAGGTCTCACACTGGAATGCTGGGAGGCCACAGTATGATGCACTGTGGATCATCAATTCAGGGATCTTTTCATGAGCATAAATTTATGCTTCACATGATTCATTGAAGAGGGGGGTGGTTTCCTGAGGATCAGACTGGATGAAACATTTTAGCAGACAACAGAAATATTTGCCAACTCTCAGAGTAGCAGAGATAAGGCAAACAGCAGACAGTGTGGTTTGCAGACAGTAACCCGAGCCCCAAAGGCTTCCACTAAAGTCTTAATGTCATATGATCCTGCATGTGCAC